TGTACAAGCAAATTGAATGAAGTCAAGCAAAATGAGTGTTCAATGTTTTTGAATACATTATAAGAACAAATCAAAACACATTCAGCAGTAAGTATGCACATAATCATTCAGTCCAGGTGAATATTTTTCAGGTTCACACAGTTCCAACTCTCCAGATGTTATCATTTTCAGCAATTGATTGATAACGCTGAAAATATTTATTGTGGTGCAAATAACTAAACACTAGAGGAACCGTCGTTCAATGTTGGTCATCTGCACATGTGTAAAACTTCATAGATTTCACAACGGAGCATGCAGCATTGCCAGGGAGATATACTGGCTGTTAGCTGTCTTCTATTAGATTGGTTCGTCTGAGATAAAATAACAGAAAAGTCTTTTGCACGGCATCAATGTGGATATGTTGCCTCTAGAGTCACTAGGTGAGGTGATCCCTCAGATTTAATCGTTAATCCAGATTTCCACCGCATTTATGGCGGACCACAAATTGGAGAACAGTTATTGTGTTTGGGGTTTCGCATGTGGTGACGCTTAGGGTATTGGCAAGTAGGTGAGTTGATTGTGAAGCTGTTCAAAAATCGGAAATCGGGGTAAGTTAATTGAAGAATTTTAACAAAAGTTTCCAATATTACGTGCGAAGTAGGGTTTTCAGTAAGTTGATACTTTTTGATCAAATGAATGCTCAAAGTCTCATCAGGTTGATACTGAAAAGGGAGCGGACATGAAAGCACAAGTAAGTGAAGTGTTTGTATTCTTGTAACCTATGTTGTATGAAATATATATATATATATATATATATATATATATATATATATATGAATTCTGCAATCACCAGGGGAGTACAACCAAACAAAGGAAGAAATCATCAAGAATTCGAGGTGAGAACTCAAAAACTACAAGTTTCCTCTAATAATACTACTGGTGTTAGATGTTGTTGGATAACCGAGTCCGGTTACCCTTGGAAATCAGGAAAAAGTTTAAAGCGAATATACTTTTTCGATAAATTCTTGAAGACCTTAACAATCACAATTGCAAAATGTTATTATTGTAACTTGATGCAAGTATGGTCAATTGAATTTCGTCGTGTTGATTGAAAGACGAAACAAAAGCCGATAATAAGAAGAATAGAATCTCGGTGGTCAGTCGTTTAGGTGTGTGAAGCGTGTATGTAGGAATAGAGGGGATAACAGAATTGTCGCTTTCGATTAGACAATGAAACGCTAAGATTTTTAATCAAGAATGAAACTAAGAGCGAAAGATAAAATGATTTTAAGAACACAAACAGAGATAATATTTACATTTACATCTATCCGGGCGGCCGCAGAGGAATTTAGTGTAATTGTATCTGGGTTGAAGTTGAAGGGCACGGGAGGGAAGGGAACGGACAAACATCTGAATACATAAATTTGGTTTGAGAGTTTTAATGACTATGGCTTTTGTGACGATTGCCAGCCAGTGGCGCACAAATTCAGATTGTCGTGACGGCGCTTTGTAAAGAGTGACAAATACTGAGGTTATGTCGATCATATGCTCAGTGTCTGCCAGGTGAGTAAGCTTTGAGCTTTTGATGTATTTCACCGTTTCTCCACCCAAACAGGCTAGACGGCTTTCAGTGAGGCCGTGGTGGGGTTGGTCAGCCTTTCCGGCTATGTAACTATTTTTACGGGTGTGGTCAAGTTTATAAATGCGCACAAATGCAACCATATTCAGTAGCCTATCGTTCAACCGTACCTGAGTCCTACAGTGAGTGGTAGGTTTCAGACGTGCTTTGGCAACAAGCAGGGTTTCTTCCGTCAGATCTCTGATTTTCAGCGTGTGTTTCTACACCTGTCTCCTTCTAACACCGAAGTAAGAAGCAATCGTGTCTTTGGTGTCATTTAAAGGTGCTAATCTTCGGCTATTTTCACCGTTACACTCCTCACAAACTTCTCTGGATGGCCATTCTTGTGTAAGGGGTTCCCTATCGTTCCTACTTCGCCGTTCAAAGTGTCGGCTACACACAAATCTTACTGACTGGAAACATTAGAGTTAAGATTAGCTTCCTTTTGTTCGTAAGCGGGACAAATGATTGGAAATATGTATACCTGCAGGCCCATGACTTCGCGCGAAATTTGTTGCTTCTGGTCCCTATGCGACACTAGTTTTATTTAACTCAGGCACGTGCACATAAGATCTACTCGCATCCCAACAACGATTCACAACAGAAGTTTCCGCTGCTTTGTTTTAATTATCTCCTTCATTTTTAACTTTTGATTCTTATACCATAGTTGAATCAACCGTTTTTGTATCAAATAGTTGCTGAATAACTCGTTAACTTGGTTGTAGGACCTGATGAGAATTTCCGGAAACCGTTTATTCGCTTTAGGCTCTTGTGTAATCTTTCCTTTTCGACCTACAAGTGTTGTTTCAATTTCCGTTACTTCACATCCACAGCTGAACTTTGTTTGCTGTTTATCACTTTCCTGCTTGAGCACCCTGAGCCTCAGGAGATATAAATATCACCCTGTATCCTTGAATCTCAGGTAGTCTTGATGAAAATGTTAGTGTCGCTGATAACCTGGATGGTACAGGCAGCATCTTTCCAGTGGCTGTACGCGATGATTCTCCGAAATCGGTTGGTAGACAAACTGAGAACCGCAGATGCAAAAACTTGCGTGAGCTTGAATTCAAGTCGTTGCCCTTTCCGCGGCTGAACTTTGCAATATAATGAGAATGCACAGGCCAATATTGCATCGTCAAATGATGAAGGATGTCTGAGAGTTACGTTTGTATTTTACAGGTAACTTTGCACCACATCCCCATTCCTCCGGCTCTCAGTCCATCCGGTGCTTCTATCTTGACGGAAGAGACCTAGCCTCACAGTTGGATCAGTGAACGTTGGTCATCTAATAACTTGACTTTCTCTGCTAGATAATGTGTCGCATTGTGATTGCGGACCATTTTCGACAGTCTTATTTAAAAAGAAGAGGTTGCCACGGATCATGGCGATTGTCCATTGCCAGAAAACAGTTGAATGCGTGACAGAACCAAGGTTAACATCCTTAGATGCCATTCGCAACGTCATCGTGTGTGGGAACATGACGAGAGGTTAGCCGACAATTCTACTGGAGGGAAAGCACAGGATAGCTCAGGATCCGATGAAGGATATCGGGACCGCCATAGGAACACCCATCCAGGGGAACATAATGGCCGTCTGAGTGCGTATATGTGTGAATCTGGGTCTGCGGCTCCACATCCGATGATCTGTTGTAGCTGAAGGAACATACAGTTCATGCCAAAATCTCTCGCTGCATGAACGGCATATTCATTATTCTCCATAGGAGCTATTTTCAAATACCAGAGACACTGCATCCATAGCGAGTCTACCGCAACCAATGAGATTGCTCCGGTAATACAATACTTGTTTCACAACGGTACGGACCGACTAAGGAAACGGGAGATAAAGAGAGGGAATTCGCGGTTGGTGAACCAGTTTCGTTCCCCTATCCTTCTTTTAAGAATGTGGACGGTAATAACGTCAGTCATAGCTATAACGCTGCCATTCAGGGTTGTGCTAATCCAAAGAACAAGGGAGAAGGTGTAGAGGAGGTGGCATACGAGTTTGATGACATCGAACAGTCGAAATGCTTAACGTGTATATCACTGCCTTAAGTAAATGAACGCCTTCTAGCGTTCCACTACTAATCTACTTTGTGGAATCCTCTACAAATTCACCTTTATCGCGGCTTTACAGAATGGTAGCACCTCTGGCCATGCAAATGATAGTGAACTGCAGTCAGCTACCATCTGCGGTAGCCAACAACCAGTTTAGTTACCGAAGAGCCTTGATGACAACCGCCGTTCCTCTGGGTCAAAAAATGTCTGAAACATTATCAGTTTGATGATGCCTGTATACTGGGTTCTCTTATGTTAGATTCGTGATAGGAGAATTGAATAGTTGTCCATCGACAACAAGCGGTAGTTCAGCCTCCAGAGCTGCTAACTTGCTGGGGTGCTGATACTTTCTACCCTGTATCCCACAGACTCAAATGATAAACTTAAGAGAGCACCTTTGTCCACTCGAGCAATTTTCAGCCAATTCGACCGCAGAAGTTTTGACCACATTCTCAACACCTTCATACGGCCTCACCCACAGTACGGAACTGTAGTCTCCTACCCTCTCAACAGAAGGATAAATTAAGTCCAGAATGTACCTAGAGACGGTCGAGCGGATCCATCGGTGGACGTTGGTCTGAGGTGAACGAAGAACGACCGGTCACGCTTGATCTACATCCTCTGGAATACAGAAAACTAACAGCAGACCTGTCAATGGCTCACAACATCTTGAACATCTCTGGATACCCACTCTGTCACTTTTCGAATCTTAGTGGTAACACCAACCTCACAGGGGGTACAGAATCTAAGCCTAGGACATAGCAGGTTGGATATCAAGCGTAGCTCCCAATCTCTATGAGTTGTTAAATCTCCCGACACGTTTCTTGCAGAAGTGGTCCGGGCTACTTCATATGAATCCTATAAATGTTGACTTGACACATACTTCAGACACATACCATGGAATCTGACCGTGTCACAGTCCCAAACAAACTAACCAACAATCAACCTCCTGTTCTACACACCAGAGCTACAACAGGTGAGTGGCTGGATCTACTGTACTGGAATCAGCCAAGGAACTGGAACCGCTGTGCATGATCAATATGAGAGCATAGAGAAATCGACTGGTTTACACAAGCTCCTTAGTCATATATTGTATACTAGATATTGGGTGGTAGCTCACTCACATCTAGTGCGGTTTCCTTATCCTAAACGCCAAGTGTTGATCCATCTTTATTCTCTTCTGCCTGCAACTGCTTGGGCCATTTATTTTTACTGCATGACTAAGGAAATTTTGAGTCCCTGGTTTCTGAAATAATTTTTTCAAGGAATCACTGGATAAAGTTGCATCAGTTACTCAATCTCATCTATGGCCCTCTGACTTGTAGAAATCAGGTTAGTTTAATTAGACTAGATATTTGAAAGGTCGTTTTTGAAGGTTAGTCGTCCTGTTGATATATGGCCGAACCGGACAAGTTAAACATTGATAGTTTGATATCGAGGCTTCTGGAAGGTATTCTTTTAACTTTTCTTGATCTATCACGTTACTCTTAACTTGTTAGTCCGTGGGTCTCGTCCAGGAAAAAATGTACAATTGACTGAAGGTGAAATTAGAGGTTTGGCCTTAAAGTCAAGGGAAATTTTCCTTCGACAGCCGATTTTGTTGGAACTGGAAGCACCGTTAAAAATATGTGGAGACATTCATGGTCAATATTATGATCTGCTGCGTTTGTTTGAGTATGGTGGCTTTCCTCCTGATGCCAACTACCTTTTTCTGGGTGATTACGTTGACCGAGGGAAACAATCTTTGGAAACTATATGTCTCTTACTGGCTTACAAAATAAAATACCCTGAAAACTTTTTTCTTTTGCGTGGAAACCATGAATGTGCTTCTATTAATCGTATATACGGATTTTATGATGAATGTAAGCAGATTTTCAAAAACCTTTGAATTTTACGTGTAGGTAAGCGAAGGTACAACATAAAGTTATGGAAAACCTTCACTGATTGTTTCAACTGTTTACCGATAGTTGCTATTGTAGACGAGAAAATTTTTTGCTGTCATGGTGGTAGGTTGTTATATGAATCTCTTAGTTCGCTAAGGTCTCTCTCCTGATCTCCATTCCATGGAACAAATTCGCAGGATTATGCGCCCGACTGATGTTCCCGAACAAGGTTTACTGTGTGACCTTCTCTGGTCTGACCCTGATAAAGATATTGCTGGCTGGGGAGAAAACGACCGTGGTGTGAGTTACACATTCGGAGCTGATATTGTCACCAAATTCCTTCATAATCATGAACTCGATCTGATTTGCAGAGCTCACCAGGTTAAATTAGAATTTGAGTTTGACTTTAAATTTACAGGTTGTAGAGGATGGTTATGAATTTTTTGCCAAGCGTCAGCTTGTGACTTTGTTTTCAGCACCTAATTATTGTGGGGAGTTCGATAATGCTGGAGCTATGATGTCCGTTGATGAGACTCTAACTTGTTCATTCCAGGTAAGAAGTTTGTGGTTTTCCTTATCTCTGCGTTTAGATACTGAAGCCCGCAGACAAGAAGAAGTTTAATTTTGGATCGCTGAATTCTGGATGGCCTGCCACTCCTCCAAGGAACTCCAAACTGAAAGACAAATGAATTTCTCATTGATTCTTATGTGATGGATTTTCATAAACTGTTACCTCACTGTGTATGAATAGTTTGGTAGTCTATTTTGAGTGTACAGCTATCAAGGAACAAAAGCTCACCAACTTCATGGAGATGCGTTACATATTTGGGTATCATTTCATTTTTCTGAAATGGTCACCAGACTACTATTGATCAGCTCTTAGAGATTTCACATTCATTTTTACCCTAACTAGTGTATGAAGTATGACATCTCCAGGGATTCTCACCATTCGCTTCTGTCGAGTGTTAATTGATGTACAGACACTTTTACTTTTAACTTTTACTGTTATTCAACATTGTACAATATTCTTCAAACATTGTATTTCGTAACTATAGGTGCCATATCTTCATTGTATGTACCATACTTTATTGCCAACTATCGCATCATATAGTCTTTTCCTTAGTAAACTCATAAAGATGCTTGTATAAATAAAGATTATCAAATCTATGTTCACTTTGCTAAGACTGTTCCATCATCAGTAACCTGCATACTTCATAAAATTAAGTAGCTAGTAGCCTCATGGAGATATAGAGAACAAAAGCTCGGACCTTTCGACAGGTCCAATGTTAACATTAACTGACTAAGGGATAGCATGTTTCTACCCCTGGATTAACTTACGTATGCCTTCCTGAATTGTTTTTCTTTCGTTACTGTTTGTCAACTTTTGATTGGTAAGACAGATGCTGAATTTCGTCCCATCTACCTGTAGCAGATGTACCTGTAGTGACTATTATTATTATTATTGTTATGATTGTTATTTTGTTTTCAAACCACAGGGGATATACTCAACAAATTCGCTTAGGGAATGTTATAAGACTTACTGTTATATATAAGTATCCTTGTTCAGAGTTGTATTCACTTCTGATATTGTTAACATTACTAGGTTCTCAACAGTCAACATTATTATGATGACTTCATTAAGTGAGACTTATTAGTAACTGATGCTTCACTAAATCACTGGGTCATGAATCCAGACTCACACTATCTTCTCTAGATTGAATCATTGGGTAGCGTCGTTTGTCTATGCCCTGTAGTCTTAACTTCTTGTCTATTTTAGGAACTAGCGCTTATTTAGTAAGTTGGGTTACTTCGTTATCATTTATAGTAAAATTGGTAGTTAACATTATACTTTTGTATTGTATTTGCATTGGTTATAATCACCGAGTGATGAATTGAACTGATCAAAATATCTCTGTAACCAACTTTCTTGTCTTTAGTTATGCATCTTTTTTCGCAGAATATCTTAGAATAAATCACAGTGATTTCGATAAGTTGGCTGAGAACTGGGTAAGTAGTTTGCTTTCACATGGTAATCCAATTACAAGTATGTATGGAGTTTACTGAAGCGTTTAGTATGAACTACACTACTGAGGTATAAATACATTCCTCATCTGGATCCCACAGATAATTTATGCTCGCCTTCTTTAACAGATCAAACCTCAGTATTATCCATACTAGTGTATCTAACCTGAAAATACTGTGTAACGTTCTAAATTGCCACACCTTACATCAGCAAATCGAGATGGGGGACAAAGAAATAGAAATCATGAAGTCAAAAGTAGAAAGCCATATAACAGAAGACAAAGGGGCTAAAACTAACGAAGTGTAAAAGAAGGGTCTTGACAAAGGTAATGTATAAATGCATCGCGCTATTGTGATCAATCTTGAGCCCAAAGTCTCAATTCATGTTTTACATCTATTGTGCGAACCCCGTCCTAGAAGTCTAGATTTTCCTGCATGGTTCAGATAAAAATGCATAGACTGTTTTAACCTGGCCGGCATTCACTTTGCTTCCAAGCTAGCCTCCATTCACCACCCGTTGCGTACCAGAGGTAACCAGACGCATGAAACATGCCCCAGTCACCTGAGTCAATGAAGGTTCACAACCTCAGCCACTAACTTATTTATCTGAGGCTTAACGCCTGAATTCTATATTAATCACTTAGTGGTCCATGCGTACACTATTCAGATGAACATTAGGGACCTAATTAACTGTTGTCATTTTTGGTCTGACCATTTCCAGCCTTTAATTTCACTACTACCTTAGATAAAACTCGGTAGAAGTCCATAACTGATTTGTCTCGCTTAGTTATCTAAGCTCCATATTGTTTACACGGTAATTTCACTACATAAGAGAGAGAATTCTTTGCCTTTAATCCCAATGCTGTACAACTACTTGGACGATACTACTCAAACAATCTGTATATTTCATCTACCATCAACCAGATTAAGCTGAAAAGCTTTATCAGAGTCTCTATGACGAGGGACATCATCGCCGGTTGAGTTCTGGATCTTCTTGTAGAATACCAATCCCTGAAAGATTTAAGAAAGTCAAAATCACTGCTAGAAGAACACCTAAGGCAAGCCTTAATAAATTGAGAATATCGGACATTACTTGTGATACACATACTGTGTAACATAAAGGAATAAGATATCTATGCTAATCCTAAATCCATTGTCCTAATATAGCGAAAAATTAGCAAATCATAAGACTAGTGTAGCGGTACGTATTGCAGCTTTGACAACAGAAACTTTGCTGCGTTCACTTGGAGTAGCTATTTCTCATTGTCAGAAGGGACAAAACTTCAGTCTCACATCTGTCGCTTTGAATTCATTCTGCATTTTACCTAAAAATAATATAATTATGGGAATAATACACACACACAGTTACAAAATTCATAATGACAATAATTAGGGAGAAGTGCAATTATCACCTAAAGGGAGTAGCAGATAAAAACGTGTCCATCTGTGGTAGATTTCAAGATCCTGAGGGGACAGTGGATGCATGAATTCTTACTTCTTATCAGCTATCATGAGAATGCGGTTCATGATGTGGTTCTAATATCTTGTATATTTGGTTTCTGTGTCAGTGGTTAAGAGAATAACTGATTCCTTGTTTTGGGTTCCCTTCAGTAACCTTGTGCATATTCGTGAAGTAGGCAATGAGCCACACCTATTATCTGAGTGTGTGATTAATGATATTACCTGACTGCTCAAACCTCGGTAGGTGGAGTGGGGTTTGAACCTGTGACCTACTGGCTGATAGTCATCTTAAACCACCGAGCGATAGGTCCACTTTGGGTTCCCAAGTAGCGCTACAATCTGCATAGTTTATGCGATGAATAAATGAGATTCAAAAGAGGGGCAGTATTCATCGGACTGTAACATATTAGCGATATATGATTACTGAGATGCTGACCAAATAACTATTTGCGTTTGACGATGGAAATATTCAAATCTTTTAGTATCTCCTTTTCATTTTTATATGCTGTATAGTGTTATGACTGCTAGATCCAGAAGTTTGTTTTTGCTCCTGAAATGATTTCTTCCTAGTTGTTCTCTACTTCAGTACCATATTTCATTCTCAGATTCCTCTCATTGAATGAAGTTATAAAAAAAGAGGGACTGCGAAAGGTCAGTTTGAAGTAACAAAATTAACTTTTGGCTAACCTTTATCCATCTGCAACATTGTGGCATTTGTGTGAATTGAGGGCAAGAAATAATGGAAGTAGTAAAAGACTGGGCTGTTATGAATAGACTAATCCGAAAGAAATGGGGTGTTCAATCTCTGCTAGAGTTATCTTCATTTAAGACTAACCCTATTTATGCATTTAAGAAATGTAGCAGCCTCACTTTAATGTTAACCAGTGTAGAATATGACACCAGGATTGAAGATGAAAGTTCTATCAACGAAAACTAAAGCTAGAAAAGGAATAAGATTACCAGAATATTCAAGCAAATGTTTGCCATCAGTTTGATGTCATCTTAAAGCGCTGGTTTGTCTAAATTTTCGAACATATACTACGCGTTATTTATGTGATATCCGTACGCAGTAATGTTTTTTGTCACTCAAAGAGACTCATGAAGGTATAGAACTGGTTATATCGTGAAGATAAGTGGACTTGTTGTATAACGTTAGGATTTTCAGGTAGTATTTCGTCAGTCAGGCGACTTATCAGCTCAATACGCCAACATAGATGGGTTATAATGAGTGATGCTGTAGTTTTTTTTTCCAAGCGACGAGTAAGAATCCAAACCAGTGGAAGAGAAAAATGACGTGAGTAAAACAACGTCCTACTGAACATACTTATTAAATCATAGAAAAAATAGTTCAGTGAAGGAAAACCTTTTTTGTTTTTGACCGGATGTAATGATAATGATTTGTTGAATGGTTCACAGTTTCTTACTTCTGTCAATTCGCGACGTAACGCGACTATCTACCAACGTCTTCAATTGGTATTCACTTTAGTTCCGATGGCTGGTTGACTTCATTAGTCACGACTTCTCACAAGAAATCTGCAGGTCCTGGGTTCCGGACCCTGGCGGGTTCGTGGATGCTCACTACTTCAGATTCCCATACTAGGACGAAGCAGCTGTCCAGTGTTCCTAGGTTTTCAGTGGTTCCCTAACTGATATTAGTCCATGATAAATGCAACCTTTAAAATAGAATCTCCATTAGCCTCAAACTACGCTACTGTAGCTCAGTTAACAAAGTCGGACTGAAAACTCGGTGGTGGCTGATTCAAATCCGAACACGGTCTAAATTTTCATTTCACCTTCAATCATCACCCCGTATCAATACCAGTCTGCCGAACTATGGCTATCTCAGATAGTCAAAATGATAATCAACATGATGCCCCCCTCTCTAATTCAGTTACATTTGGACTGGAATCAGAAGTCCTGATTAGGCAGCCAGTATCAGTAAGACCAAGCAGTGGTAACGCGTCACGAATTCACATGGTAGTCCGGCAAAACCTTTGGTGATTGAAGTGAAATGAAAATCTGGTGAGTAGTCGGGCTTCGTAGCTCAGTTAGTAGAGCATCAGACCGGAAACTCGGTGGTTCCTGGTTCGAATGTGGCCGCGGTCCAAATTTTCATTTCACATTCAATCATCAATCAGTATCACCTCCCTTTAACAGTATTGTGTATAGTAAATATAAGATAGAGTGGAGATTAGTTGTAGCTCAGAAAGTTGCTTTTGGTGGTCTTAGATCCTTCGAGCTGAATTTTATGTTACTGTAAGATTTGTACCTACGCGATTTCGACAGATGCAGAGGTTAGTGGGGATTTATTTATTGATTTCATGTTGACATATTCATCATAGATTGACGTCACTTGGAGAAACATTGGAAACCTGGCAGCACCGGATAGCTGTTTCATCCTAGTAGGAAATGTGGACCATTAGATTCCAACCCATTGACTGAACTGTAACGTGCTGGCTGCGGAACCTCATGGTTCCTGGGTATGCACTGCTAAGAAATCCCATACTGAGATGAAACTGGAGTCCAGAGCTCTCAAGTTTTCAATATTTCTCCAACTGATGTCAGTCCGTGATGAATACCAACCTGAAATCAACGTCTAATTCTTCGTACTTGTAGAATACCCAGGAGTACGGGACCAAGAAAGTACACAACAGCGTTACCAAGTAGAAATAGTATAATTTGATAAACCATGCCAAAATAGCTTGAAGCTTTGACTAAATGGCTAGAGAATTGCATACCAGCAACCCAACCTAACATGATAGCCTGTCACATAGTGTGAATTCTTCACTATGTGCATTCACCTTAGCCATTCCGTTGGAACTATGATAGTCAGTATCAATGTTGAGTTTTGTTTAACTTTACGCTATTGATTTCGGGGAATTATTTGCCTTGGCAATACGATGACCTGAACAGAATCAACTCAAAATGCAGTGTACTTACGAAAAAATCTTTTTTCCGCATGAGTTGTTTATTTGCAGAAAATCCAAACTTGCAATTCTATATTATTCCCATTGATTTCTAGTGTTAGGCGTGAGGGTGAATGACCAGATTATTATTATTATTATTAGTCCCTTGGGTTCCTA